ATACAAAATTCCCTACCGCACAGTCTGTGCCCTAAGGGTGTGACACCCACCAGCCCCCTGAGGCTAATAAACAACCCAAACGTGAATAGTCCAAATTCGAAACAGTGGAAAAACAGCGTAAGGTATCTTCTTAATCATTTTTTGATGGATCACATGTTAAATGCCATTTTGATATACTGGGTTAAATCAAATATATTATTGAAACTAGTTTCGCCCATTTCTTTTTTCTGTTATTTGATGCAGCTACTAGAAAACATAAAATTCCATATGTGTCTGTCTATATTTCTCTATATGACTCGCCTTTAACTCAAGGCTCATATACGTATTCCTTTAATATCGCTCTCAGATTTTAAACCAATATTCTAATGTTTTAATTAATGTTCTTCTTAAAATATGTTTTACTGTCTGCTGGGACTATATACATCTTCCCTGTTGCTCTTATTTTTCAGGCAGTCTTTTTGGGAATCTAAGCCAATTGTTCCTTCAGATAAATTTCAAAATTATTTTTGCCAAAGTCATAAAAATCATGTTTGGATTGTTCATCTGTACATCTAGAAATATTTTTCTCCCCTCAAATTGATGTCTTTTATGACTTCCTATAAAACTCGGATGTTTCATTTATATTTTCTCAAAATCACTTCTATTTTTGATGCTATTGTGAATAGCATCTATATTCAGATGCTATTGGTTTTTACATATTTGTCTTTTAAAATCACTCAAGCTGTTTTTAAATAATTGTATATTTTTAACTGATGTTATCTGTGAAGAGTATTTCTCTCCTTTTAGTATATGCATTTGTTTTATTCCTTTTCCTCTGTTACTATAATGTTACAATGACTAAGACATCCAAACCTTCATAAATGATAATGGTGGTAGTGGGCATTGTTCCTGAAAATAATTTGCTAATATTACTTTTTAGAATATTTACCCTTTTAAACTTGGCAATGCTTTTTCTTGGCTTTGATTACCTTCAAGGACACCCATTAGAGAGGCATTTTCCCTTTCCAAGTAAAATAAGCAGTCTAGAAAACAGAATTTCCGCTGGCTTTCTGCAACCCGCCCACTAGAAAAATAAAACAAAGCCTATTTTTTTTTTTCTTTTTGGTTCTGAGACATATTTTCAGAGTGTATCGTGCAAGATTATAGACAATCCCTGATGTTTTGCAAAAACTTTCAGTGGATAGAGGAACAGTTATATCTTTTTTATCCCTGAGATCGAGTTCAAGAAACATGAGTTAGGGTTAGGCTTTGTGTGAGGGTTAGATTTAGAGGGAGAGTTAAGGTTAAGAAAACCTGGTTTCAATGCATCCATGTATTGAATTTCAACTTTAAAACTCTCTAAAATCCCACGTAACAAATTGTTTGAGTTACTAAATCCTCAAAACATCACTTAGGGGTATCTTACACTTTCTTTCCATCAAGAGGTAAACAAAGAAGCTACTCGCATGAATCTTGGAGAAAATGGCAGCCTTGGACTTTTTATAGGATCAACCGTAGGAGCCAGCAGATGCTTTTAGCTCTTATACAAAGACAACAGATGGAAATATTATTGAGTTTGCCATTAGGCAAGACAGTTGGGACTGCTGGGTCCTCTAGACAGGGGCCACTCCGCAAGTGCAAGGCTGAGGTAGCTGGATACTGTCCGATCCCAGGTGCCTGGGAAAGTGCGTTTGGGTTGTGTTTTGAGTCAGATCAGACAAAACTGGGTGATGGGAGACATCGTCTTCATTCTTCGAAGCTTTGTGACTGATGACAGCCCAGTCTGGAATCTTTGGGCTAGTCTGATATTTCTGGGCTGTGAAAACTCTGGATACATCTCCATCCTGAGGGGCGTGCTCAGCATGCTTGTCCCAGAGACTGTGCGCTCCGAATCTGATAGCGTTTGGGGGCAAATGCTCTCTTAAGGGAATACTCCAGGATGTGTTCCATTGAATAAAATAGTGACCCCCCTTCTGAGGCTAGCAAATTCTAGGGATTCGTATGGTGGAAGTGGCATCTTGGGAAAGCCAGATTCTAAGGAGATTCTTCTCTTTCCAGCTCTGCAAATCCTTCCTGCTGTTCTTTAAGCTACCCCAGTGGAGCTCCTGTCTCGCAGTGTAGCTCCAGCAGCGTGGGGCCGCGATGCAGCTCCCCGGGCTGGTGGACTCACGCACAGGAGCTCTCTGGGGGGATGGGGCCTTGGATATGGGATGTTTCAGTTGTGCCTTTGGGGAAGCAAATGCTGAAGTTGAGTTGGGAGAGCCGTGACAGGAGAAGGGAGGGAGGAGGCTTGTTCGCCAGGAGCCATCACTCCGTGGTGGACCTGACAGAGTCCCAGGTGCCCAGCAGTGAGCTCTGTAGCAAAACTCGCCTGTCCAAGCAGTCCTGTGTGGGCTGACGTGGCCAGGAAGTCTTGCCCTGTCACTGGCTAAAGCCACCTCAAGAGCAGTGTGACCCCGGCTCAAAGCTGAGGCTGCACGATGAGCTGTCACCCTCACTGGACACCTGCCTGATTAGCTGTCACCCTCACTGGGAGGCTGCCAATGACCACACTGCTCCTCTCAGCTCGAAGGGGAATCTGAGCTCCACACCTGTGCGTCTGCCACACGTCATGTGGCTACTGATTCCATGTTGTCTCTTGTCATTGTCAGACACAGTTAGTATCTGGTCTTCCATGAACTTCCAGCTGAGCTAATCCACAGCTCAGTTTGAGCAAGAGGATTCCTAACCTCTTAGCACATTATCTACATTGGGATCCGGTTGGCTTTTGAAACTAACACCTGTACCACTCGCCCCTTTTGGACTGGCCGCTCCGTGGGAAGATCCTTCTCCCTGACCTCCTCTGGGGGTCCCAGCTCTGTGGGCCCCACAGCAGAGAAAAGCTGTTTTGCAGAAGCCTGGGTTCGCTCACCCATTGGGAGTTGGCATTCAATTATCTTTAGAGTAAACCCCCTTCCAGCCCATGAGGGTGGGAAGGAGTGATAATGTGTTATCTCTTCTGCTAAGCCTTCCTTAAACACGGGCATCATTCAGCTGATCTGAGACAAGATAGCAGAGGGATCCAGGGTCCCCTTTGAAAACGGCAATGAACCCAAACAAGAATTCTTGGATGATCCTCTCCGCTCTGGTTTGCATTAGCCGTGCAATTAAAGGGTTTACCCAGCGGCTCTCCAAGGGGGACGCTCGGCCACATGAAAGGCAGGAAGGGTCAGCTCCTAAAAGAAGGCGTTCCTAGGCTTTTCTTGGTATTTTTCCCAGACCTTGGAAAAGGCTGATGCTTTTAAAACAAGAGGTCACTCGGAGGCAGGACAGTCAGGGGCAGGCCGACAAAACAGCCCTTCCCAAAGCAAACAGCTTCCTTCCTTCCCCAGTCCCTGATGGTCCAAACCTGCCTTCCACGGGGCGGAGGGGCGAGGAAGCAAAACGGTCGTTCCGAGAGGACTCAGTGAGAAAAGACGACCTGGGAAGTCCCTGGGTCTCCTGTCCTCTGGGACCAGGTGAGACGGCCAGCGGGAGCTGCCCCGCCTAGCCAGGCTCCGGGCAGGGCTGGGAGGAAGGCGGGGAGGGGTCGCCGGCCCCTGCCCTGCCAGAGGGACCCCGAGGCAGCCCTCAGCATCGCACTCCTGCTGCTGGGATCCTGCAATTGCTGCTTCATCCTCCAAGGTTTCCTCATCTCACGTGGGCCGGGCCTGGTGCCAGTTAGGGTCCAGCGCATTTTTCTCAAAAGGAGCCTTCGAGGATTCCTGGAGAAGGAAAGACCCTGCCGTGCTCTTCGTCTTCTTCTTCTTCTTGAGGCGATGAATGCAAATTCGTGCTGCAAGAGGCCTGAAGTCAGACACCCTCGGTTTCCTTTTCTCCTGTGCACACTGGAGGGTGGGGCTGTCTTCCCACCGGTCCCTGCAGGCAGCAGTGAAGTCTGGGAGGGAGCCATTCCTCTCCCAGTCCCAGCGTGGCCTTGGGGACAAACCCGTTCCCCGGCACCGTGCGCAGGGCAGGCCAGCCGGGCCTGGGTCAATCGGCACGGCCGTTCTCCGGGCTCCAGGGCTGGGTCGGATGCACTGCAGTCGGCCCGGAGCTCGGGGCGTGGCTGGACGGGTACGGGGATGAAGGAGGAGGCAGGTGGACTCGGGCTGCTGCCGTCTCGCAGTGGCCGGTGGGAGCGGGTGGCAGGCACAGAGAGACGGGCAGGGCTGAGAAGGTGGCGGGGAAGTGAACCCAGAGTCCAGGTCCAACAATGCCCGATGAGCACACCCACCTGCCTATTCTCCTGTTGGACGCGATGGCACGTAGCCAGTTGGAGCGTGTTGATCCCAGGTGTGGCAGGGGAGCCACGTGGTGACCGAAGCTTAAATAAGACGCAAAACCTGAATGCCTTGTGCCGGTGTGGGCGTCCTCTGGGCTCCTCTTTCCCTCTGGGTCGCTGGGCTGATGGAGGGTTGAAGGACCACGTTTGGGGGGGGGTTGCAGACATTCTCCTCCCAGGCCTGCCCGACACCTGCTTCATAACGTCTGCTAAGACTTTACTCCCTGGCAGTAGAACTGAACAAAGACGCCGCTGCCCTGGGCTCTGCAGACATGCTGAGGTTCTGGATGCTTCTCTCGTGGTCGGTGCTGGGCTGGAACAGACAGCGGCGTCGGGGAGGACGCAGAGGCTGCTGCCGGGGCAGGAAGCGCCGAGCTCGGGGACGGCGTCTGGCCCGCCAGATTCTGGTTTAGCGTTGTGAGGAGCGGCGTTGCTAAGGACGCCTCCTCTGGGAAGTGGAACCCTGCTCCCCGGCATGCTGTCCCCCCAGGCCAGCGGGTCAGACACGTCCCAGGGCCAAGCATGCTGAGGGAGGCAGTGGGGCTGACCCCGACCACACAAAACCGGAGGAAACTGCTCGACAGCAGGGGCCACACAGGCGCCTTTTAGAAAACCAGGAGAGAAAGAAGAAAACGAGAATCGCCCCAAACCCACAGGCTCTGTCTCTGTACCTTCCAGGGTTTATTTCTCTGTATTGAAAACAAACGTTTGAGAATAACCTACATACAGAAAGGACGCCAGCCCTAGGACTACCCCCGAGAAGGGTTCCAGGCCGTTTCCTGAGCCGAGAGCTGGTGGCACAGGTGTGTTTAATTTGTGAAAATGTATAAGTCTTAGGACTTTGTCCCTTCTTGGGGGTCTTTATGTGAGCTTAGTGACACCAAGGAATGCTGTGACTTGACACAGCTCTTGACCTGGTCCCTCTGTCCCAGCAACACAGGAGGAGGTCCGAGGTGCCTGGTCCACCACTGCCCTCCCATGAGGGCTCCTTCCTTAGATCCACGGGCTGCCAGGGGGGCCAGAAAGGCTGCTGAAATAGGCACGCAGCAGACTGGCCTTCAGAAGGTCAAGGCTGAAGCCGGAGCTGATGCTACGGCCTAATCGAACTTCTCACTCCGTTACTTCCAGACACTCAAAGGCCCCGACCGACCCAGGCCCTCTCTGAGGATTCCAGTTTTCTTTTTTTCAGTGGGCTCCAAAGACAGACAAGTCTGAGACAGACACAGAGCAGTGGTTTTGCTAGAGATGACCCACAGCACACCTGGGCTAGGTGCCTCCCTTCTCTGGGTGCCCTGAGTGGACGAGGCCCGCCGTGTGCTCTGTTGTCATGGCATCCTCTAAGATCACGAGGTTTAGCCTCTGAGTTGCCCTCATTCAGGCCAGATATGCAGCAAGAGCTCGTTATACATCAGCCGAGGTGCTGGGTGCATCGGATGCAGACATGAGTGAGAGTCCGACCATGGGGGAGATGAGCATGTCCCATGGGAGACACGCACACATAGTTAGTGCACAGGGAGGCAGGTCCTTGGATGGGATTATGGACAGATTTACTCGGTGGTCCCGCCTGGCCCTTTGGCTGTACTTTCAGAGAAGGTTGCGGCGAGGATTGTTACCTCAACAACCAGCCTCATTTTAAAAATGAGTAGAGAGGCCCAAGGAGATGAATTAACCATCTAAAAACAGAAGCTGGGTCTTGGCAGAGCTGGGACGCAAGCCCCACTCGGGGTCTGGTTCTTTCCTGAAGCAGGTGGCTCCCTTCCCGGCTCCAGCTCCAGGCTGGGCTCCTGTTGGGCTTTGAAAAGCGATGGCGAGCTCCGGGATTTCAGCTAGAAATTCCATCCTTTATCTCATTCCTTGATGAAATGACATGCTCTGCTAGACTCACCCTTCCTGGTGCGTGTGCATCTTATCTCACATCCTGCGGGACAATAGCACAGTGTGGCGCAAGATCGCAAAACGGGGAGTTTCCATAAACAAAATCCATCGGCCTTGCTGCACGGCTGACTCCAGGGAAATTCTGTTATCAGTCTGAGCTCTTGACATTTGACAGACGGGACTGCGGCTGCATTCAGACGTGCCCCTGCCCCGTGGGAACGCGCTTGTCTTCTCACTGGGTCTGTGTCCCTCCTGTCTGAGGTGTTCCGATGGACATGCATGTGTCCACCCGCCCAGTGCCACCCCTTATCCTGGTGACGGGACCTTCGTCTTCCTCTAGGGAGCCGCCATCTCCTGTTTTCACCGCCATGCCAGCACATCCAACACCCGAAACCTGGAATGTGGTCCAAACCAGAACAGCTAGACTCTCTCAGACGCTGGAGCAGCAAGCCCAGCATCTCAAAGTCAGAGTGGCCGGGGCTTGTTGCCTGTGAGGGCTGCACCCCAAGGCGGCCACCGTTAGTTCCTGAGCCCGCTCCCATTGGCTGGCGCTTGGCTGTCTTTTGACTTTGTGCGGCATTCCATATTTTCCCCCTATACAATACTATTTTGCTTCTGCTAGCCAGAGTCTATTTCTGTTATTTGCAACTACAGAATCAGAGTGGCTGTTGTTGAAACCAAGCAGGGAGACGGGGGATGTCCAAGAGGTTCGGAGGATGAGGAGTCAACCGAGAAGAGGAAATGCAAGTTCAATGTCGGTGAGTGACTGGACAGAACAGGTTTCAAATGAAGAGGATGTGGGCAGTGGGGCCGTGCTGCATGACTTGTGAACGGAGCTCTGTTGAGCAATGGGAGACTGAGTCACCAATGGAGAAGTTCCCAGAGATGAACGCCATCAACTGCAAGGAAGCAAGTGGTCTGCCATCCTGCAGGTCGTCGCCACCAGGGAAGTGGTGGGAGAGGAAAACCGTGACCCAGAAAGCAGAAGTATGTGGGCTGGCCTGGGCATATTTGGACCCTGGGCGTCCACACATGGCCTAGATGAAGAACCCTTTGACTTCCCTTTCTACAGGGACTGCTTTGCTCTCTGGCTCTTCGGTCCACGAGAACTAGACTGTCCAGGTGGCGTGTCCGCCTGGGGTTTACACAGCACAAGGACCAAGGCCAGTGCATTCCTGACCGTGGGGATAAGCACTGGCACAGAGTCCTCCTGGCCTCCCCGCCCCTCCCAGGATGAGGTCAGCGGGGCAGGCAGTGCCAAGTCCTGACACATAGGATTTTTTCTAGGGCTCCGCAATAGCTGTTTACCAGGAGATCTGGTTTCAGAACAAATGAAGTTCATATCCCAAGGGACCAAGCCCAGCCCATCCCTGCCTTCTGGGGAGGTGAGTGTCCAGTGTCCGAGCCCAACATCCATCTGTCGCATTCCTGCTCCCAGCCACGTGCTGGAAACCCAGGCGGCTGACGCTCCCCTTGCTGTGGTTTAGCCCCGTCCTAGGCGTGACCCTGGCTCAGACCTTCAGCCCGGAGCGCTGTTCCTCCCCGGGCAGTAGCCCTCTACCCTGCACTGCTGCTGTTGGAGACAGGGTTTTCCAACAGTTTTAAGAGCAGCTCAAAATCAGTGCTTGTGACCCCGGAGGTGTGGTTAAACTTGCAGAGGGGTGAATTTCCAACCATTTCTGGATCCTTGACCCCTTGGAAATGTGATAGATGCTCCGAACACTCTTAAAACACACACACTCACACATTTTTGCCCACAGTTTCGGGATGTTCCTGGAACCTCCTGTTTGCACAGTAGGACTGTACCCAGGGCACAGAGCCATCTTCAGACCATGACATTCTCCCCCAGTCCCCAGGGCCTCGGACGTGCCCCTGCTCTCCCTCGGGAGGCAGCCAGGTGTGGAAGCACACGCTGGACTCCAGAGGCTGTCCCCGGTCACTGGGTCTTTGACAGGTCAGTGCAGGCCCAGGAGGAGCCAAGACAGATCTCTGGCTGTCGGCTGGCGTCGAGGGGACACTATCCCCACGGCCTGAGAGGAGCCCCTGCAGCCTGCGGCGGGCGCGGCGGCCCCAGGTCCGGGCTGGGACTGGGGCAGAACCCAACCTCAAAGGGCGGAAGCAGCTCCACACCCCCTGCCGGGTCCCCACTCCCCCATGCAAAGGAAACGTGACCCTGGGCAGTGGACATGCGTGCCCCAGATTAAATGCCAGAGAACAGGCGCCCTTGGGTGGGGGCTCCGGGAAGGCAGGACCAAAACTGTAACGTTTCACAATGTAGTGCGGGAACTATGGTTTCTCAGGGCCACTGGCTCTTGCTCGTGAGTCCCCCGCACATTCGTAATATGAGATGGGGGGATGCGGGGTCCCCTGAAGTATTTGCTTCCTCCACCAGCCTCAGTTGAACACGGGGCCTCAGACTTGTTCTTTTTGTATTCTCACTGCTGTGTGTTCTGTCTGCACTGTTCACTGAATGTCATGATTGGGGGATTTTGCCTTCTTATCATTCTTTGAGATGGCAGAGTGTTGGCACTTTGCTTTCAAGATGTGAAGAATTCTCAAGGACATAATTTTTTAAAGACTTATGGCCTAAATGGAATTACCAACAAACATTTAAGTAAAGTTATTTAGATGATTTTGTTTACTGTTATGAATATTGGTACCCAAACAGTTCTGCAAAGAGGAGAGCTGTGACGTAACCAATCTCTGTTCCCCTGCCTGAATCCCCACCTAAGTGTTTGTGAATATTTTTTTTATTTCAAAAGGATTTAAAACAATGTTATTCCTTATGTTTTCTAACACACATTTTCTTTCTACCCATTATCCACCAATCTATTTCCTTGGTTAACTATATGAAACATTTTAATAATAATTGTATATATAAAATTATAGATTCCAAATAATCACTTATTATATAGCATTTTACTCAGGCAATATTAAACACACATTTACCTTTCCACAGACTAGTGGAATTTTAAAACATAAAGTATACAGGGTGATTTTTATGGCAGGTTACATTGAGAAGGATTGTCCATGTTTGAAATTTGAAGACTCACATATTAGCAATATATCTAGATGCTACGCCCTGTCCACTTCATTACTGTTGTTCCACTGATTAGGGAGGAAAGTCCCCAGAAGGATCACCGGGCCCTGAGCCACAGGATGTGAGGGAGGCCAGAAAGGCTGCTGAAACAGGCACGCAGTGGACCGGCCTTCTGAAGGTCAAGGCTGAAGCCGGAGCTGATGCTACGGTCTGTCTCTGAGATGAATTTCAGTGTGGCCCTGTATGCACGTGTGTGCGTGTTTAATGATGTAACTGAGAAAACAGTTTTGTAGCACAATACTTACCCTTTATATCTAAGCTTGTGCATGCATGATATCTACATATGTATATACACACCACATAGACACAGATCCATGCACATGATTGCTCCTTCCCTTGTACTTTTCTCTTCTACGTCCCATTCCATCGTACAAATGTCGGCCACCTCCTTCCCAGTTGTCTCGCAGTTTGAAAAGCACTGAAGGGCATTGCTAAGTTCTGGCTCCCTGGCCTCATGCTTTGAGTACCCACCCAGGGTGCGGAGAAGGCCCGCAGCTGTCCGAGCCCCACGGGCGTGCCCGGCTCCTCCGTCTTCCTTTCATCTGCAGCTTCCTCCCCGGGGCTCCGCTGAGCAGGTATTTTGTAGGAGGCTCCAGAAATGTGAAGGCCTCATTCCTGACTTCAAGAATCCCACAACCTGAGGCGTGGGGAGGTCACTCGAAGCTGCTCCCGTGACAGCACGGTAATGCCATGTGTAGGATAAGCATGGCTTATTCCAGGAGCACAGAGAAGACCATCGCTCCTCCCTTAAGGGCCCGTGGTGTTCTCCCGGAGAAGGTGACGTCTGAGCTAAGAATGCGTGGGGGAGTCCCGGGCGGCCGGGGGGAGGGGCCGGTTGCCCCCGGGTTCGGGTGTCCTTTGATTTTGGGGTTTTTTGGGTTGTTCTTTTTTTTGGGCCCTTGGAACGTTTCTTTTTCCTTCTTCGGGGGGGGGCGCAACACGGCGGGGCGCATCTCCCCCGGGCCTGGGAACCTGCTTTAGAAACAGGGCTGTGAGGTGGTCCTTGAGGCTCTGCAGAGCCCCAAGTTAAGAGGCCTAAGCTGGGTGGGGCCCCAGCGTGACTTGCTGACCCCACTTCTCCAGGGAGCAAGCCGTGGTGGGCCATCACGAGCCGTGAGCCCACTACGCGAGCAGAGGCTTTGCTGGGGCTTGTCCCAGGAGGGACTCTGAGAATGCTCACCTCCACCAAAAACCACGAGGGGGGTCCCTCTGGGTGCTGGGTGGCACCAGGAGCCCATGGACAAGCCTACTTAGAGCTGTCAGTTCTCTGTCTCCTTGTCCCAAGTCATAGCACAGAGTCCCCAGGTGCTACCTGGGGCCCACAATGGCCCCAATAAAGCCAACGAGCAGGTCCCCGAGAGGTAAAATACACTGTTGTGAGTTGAAGGAAGCACGGTCATTGTTACATAAGGAAGGAACTCGGGCTTGCAGGACCATCGGGAGGAATGCTGGAAGAAATGATCGCGAATTGCTGAGTCCCGAGGCCTGGACCCCGACCCTGGCCCTTCTGTGGCTCCCTGCAGCCCCTGCCACAGTCACCTCCTCTAACGGCATGCGGAAGAAGGCTTTTCCCCAGGGCCGTTCGCCCTGGGCCTTGACCTCGTCCCAGACACCAGCCCCCCCAGCTGCCCGCCAGCCGCATCCTGAGATACCGCGAGGGAGCGGCCGGCCCAGTCTGCACCGGAGCCCTTTGTTACTGGCCACACGCGTGGCGTATCAGCGAGGAAATGGCTCATTCATCACCAGAACGTTTTCCCCAAACAAATCTATCGGAGGAGCAGAAAGTGTATATTTTGTCCCCTTTGCCAGACTCGGTTCAGCTGTTCCTGGTGCTGAGCAGATGGCTCGGCGAGTGACAATGTTTCCCGCATCACACGGCTGTTTGAAACGGCCCAGACGGCGGTGTTTATTTTCGGCGCCCAAGAAGATCAGACGACACGGTTCATCTGCACGGAAAGGTGTCATCCGCGTAGTGACAACTCGCGTTTGCTGGTAAGCACGGCTCTCTGGGATATGGTGACGTCACACTTAAAGATTCCTACCCAGCATCTCGGGGGCTGGACAGGAGGAGAGTGGAGACTTCTGGATTCTTGACAAAATTTAATGGGGAGATAAGCTCCTTCTGGGACTTCGTTATACTTACTTCAGAGTCTAACTCAAGTCCACACTCCTGTGTCCAAAATTTATCTCTTCGTCATAGTCTCCTCTCCACGGCCTCCACCTGGGGCCCCCTGTCCTCCCACCAGGTGCTGCGTCCACCCCCCTCTGTCCTTCTGCTTTGTCTCTTGGCTCCCCGAGGTCCATCTGCCACTCAGTGGCCAGAGGAAGCCCGGGCAAGGTAAATGCCACCGAAGCAGCCTCCCGGGAGGCCAGGGAATGCCAGGATGACATGCAGACTGTGAACAAAGAAACTAACCACACTAGGAATGTATGGAATGACCTCACCAAAGGGCACATGGGAAAGTGGGGCTGACCCTAGGAGCTGTGCAGATGACCGACTCTGTAAGACCGCAGGCAAAGGGGGCTACACGTAAGCACCGTGCTCCAGCTGGTAGCGCCGCTTCGCATGGGGGTGAAGGTTAGCAGCTCTGAACCCCCATACGTGGACACCACAATGGGCAATTCAGTAAATAGGCGGGGGACAGCCGGAGCCAGGTCCTCGCTGTTGGGGTGGGAGGTGAGCGACAAGCTCGGGGAGGAAGCTGGAGTGATCGTGTGACGCAGGGTCAGAGCTGGAAGCTTCAGCCTGAATTCGTGCTCAGCTTAGTAGAGATACAGGCGGATAGATGTAGAAATAAGTCCGGCGTGTTTACACAGAACTAGCACACACACACACATATCTCCAAGCTTTTTGCTGAGAGCGCCTGCAGTCAGTGACACCCTAGTGGCAACAAGCACAGCCAGCACCCAGATCTTGGCATCTAAGATCATGGTCCGATAAAAGGAACCAGGGCTCTTTTGGAGAACTGGCTGATCCTAAGACTGGGGGGAGAAATATACAAGATGAGCCTGGGCCTCTTGTAGTGCCAGCAAGTAAGGAAGTGCTCCACGAAGATGACTTGTGAGTAATGAGTAATAATGTGTCATTAATGGCTGTGACAGGTGCATCATACTAAGATGTTAACCGTAGAGGAAAATGGGTGCAGGGTATACGGGAACCCTCTGTACTATCTTTGCAATCTTTATGTGAATCTAAAACTATGCTAAAATTTAAAAAAGGAAGGGCTCCCAGGGGAGTGTACGTGTGTGGGGTACCCCTGAGCCCCGCACTTACCCCCGGGGTCTCCTTGTGCTTGGGCTAAGGATCTGTTCCCCCACCCGATGTCCAAAAGCATCTGGTGGACATAAAACACGGACTTCCAGGGCACAGCTGAGACCACTGGCTCGGGGAGGGGCCCCCAGAGCTGGGCCGATGCCGGAGCTCATTCCTAAACAGATCGTTAATTTACTCAACAAATATTTATTGTCCAGAAAATGGCTACTTGGAGAATTTCTTGGTCTTTTAAACTTCCCTATATATTTATTTTGTCATTCTCTCTCTCTCTCTCTCTCTCTGTCTCTGTTTTTTTTCCACCCCCCTGGCCCTAAACCCCGATAAAACCCTTGAAAAGCAAAGGTCCTCTGAGCTTGCAGCTGGCCCAAGAGGTGAGAAGACGGCCGGCCCCTGGCTTCTGTGGGAGGGGCCCAAGGCACCCAAGGGAGCTGGGCAGCGTGGAGGGAGAGGCGGGCTTGGTGGCTCCGAGCAGCAGACCTGGGAGGTCCCCGACCCAGAGGAAATGGGCTGTTTTATTACGACGGAGTTCTGCAGAGCCCTACGAGGCCATAAGAGCGTAATGGCCACAAACCACATGTGGCTTCGCTTCCGAGCTTGTCTGTGTCCTTCCTCAGCTGTTTCTGATGATCCCGTAACGTGACAGGCTCTCGTGTTTCTCTCTCGCCGGCCCCACTGTGACTCGAGCTTTTGATTTATGGTTCCCTCCCTGCCCCGCGGCGGTCTTTCACGGCAGAGCCTGCTGGGCCGCGCGGGTTAGGAAACAGAACAACCGGGCTTCGTTAAGGGCTCGCCTTGGAACGAAACAAGCCGTGACCGGTGTCCGGCGGGTGAAGCCCATGGGCTCTGTGACGTCGCGGCTGTCCGGGGCCCTGTCCCCTGTTCCCTCCGTCGTCACTGCTAGGGTCCGGATAAGCGAGGCTGCAGCAGGGCTGGGTCTGGATAGCAGAGGCCAAAGCCGGACCGTTGGGAACACAGAGACCGGGACGCTTCCAGGAAATATAGGCACACGAGGCAATGCACAGCTGGAACATCTGGCCTTATAAAACTAAAAATAACACCCCATAAAGTACATTTTAGTCATTTATTTTGACAACCGAAACACACTTTCCATTACTTACGACTCTGCAAGTCTCGCTGGTGCAAGCGTCCTGCTATCACATGCCGGGGGACCAACGCACGATTCTGTCACACGGATTCGCCACGCCACTCTCTCTGCCCCCCTCTCCCCTCCCGACAGCCCGGGAGCCCTGGCTGTGCCGCTCAGTTACCGCCTCTGCTTAAAAGGCCCTTCCCCTCCGTTTATTGCAATCCCATTTCTGCCCGTAGAGTCGCTCCCCAAGGCCACGTTCGGGCTACCCCGTGTCCT